CTGTTATATGATCATGATCTAGTACCTTATTTTTTCCTTCGTCAGGCAATTGAGTTTTACAATACATACATTTTTTATACGCATTATGTGTTTTCTTTTGTTCATCATCTAACTTACCTTGAATCATTGGCTTTTTTCCGTGACATTTCTTATGTGAAGCACCCAAATATTTTTTAGTTTCAGGATCGAATACCTGAATTTTATTGTATCCTGATTCGTGTAATTTTTTTTCACATATCCAACACTTACTTGCCATTTGATACTGCCTCCATAATTTTGGCATCATTTTTTCACATAGAAGTGGATCACAGAGCTTATCTAAAATAACATCTAGATCTTCTTGGAGATTTTCCATTAAGTCTTTTATTATATTTTCTGATTCTCGATTAATTACTGGCTTTTGTGTTGTTCCATCTGAACAATGTATTGTATATCCATATGATACTGCTATTTGTTCCGCTATTTTTATAGTATTTCCTTCTTTATCTTTTTCTTCTTCTTCGATTTCTTTAGATTCTAAATCCACACTAATTAAATAAGGTTTCATTAGCATGTTTTTGATATATTTAGGCTTTACATAATTCTTACCCTCTTCAGGAAGTATTAATCGTTGCGAAGCTTTATTTGGACCTGGACATGTAAGAATATGTTCTTGTAATAAATCTAATCTACTATATGGAAATCGTAAGCATTTTCGGCAAAAGTATTTTTTTCCATGATGGTTATTCCACTTACGCATTAATCGAGTAAAATCTGTTATAAGTACATAATGTGTTCTAAGTTCTTCAGGTATATCGTTAGGATTTTTTCGGTCATTTAAACTTTCCTCACCTTCTGTTAAATATAATAAATCTATCATATGTTCGACTTGATAATTTCTTTCAGAGATATGTAATGGGTCTATATCTACTTTTATTTTTCCGAACACTTCTTTATATACTGGCCTAAATATATTAATAGCATAGTTAAGATTGATTTCTTCGAATTTATCAATATCATGTAGTGTTGCTGGAAATTTTATTTTATTAAAATTTGCTATATCTGCATTTCGTCTAAGTCTTCGGATTTCATTAAGATGTGGTGGCTTTCTATTAGCTTTTAATGCTTCCTCTCGTGTATGGTATGCACTTATACACCATTTAAAACACTCATTATCATTACTGTTTTGCGGGTTAATTAATCCTAGTTGAGGTTTATC